GGAGGAGGAGGAGGAGGAGGAGGAGGAGGAGGAGGAGGAGGAAAAGTACTTTGGTCGGTACAATGGAGTGTGATACAATTCCTATTGACGATTGACGTATATTGAAGAGCTGAATCGGTGCGTAGGGAGCGGCAGGATGTACTACTACCAATGGCTCACAACGATGATAATGAGATTAAAAAAGAAAAAGAAAAATGAAAAACGACGCGGTTTTTGCATTTTTATGTGAAATGACAAAGCGAAACAATGAATCGGTATTCACTACAATTCATCGACAAAGTAACGCAAGTATTATGGATGTATGCGAGGGTTTGCTAACATTAAAAAAAAAGAAAAAAAGAAAAAGTAATTAAATACTTTTGAAAAGATTGGTCACGTGATCGCATGTTAATCTACAGTTATTAACCATTACATATAATAGTTTGGTATTTATTTGCCAGATGTTCTTTTCTTATATTACTTGTCATGCTCATATTTCTGAATTACTGTTTTAAGCATATCAAATATCGTATTTGATACTTTTATTAAAAGCAGATATTCATTAAAGATAAGTCATATATTCAACTATATTTATAATTCTTGGTTTAATGAAATTTTTGTGAATTAAAACGTACTTAGAAATAATTATTACTAATTCATCGGAAGTGAAATAGCCACAGGATGACGTCGTGAAAGAATACATTTACCACGGGATACTTATTAGGAATGACAAAACCCTCAAATATTACTAAACTGTTCTAAGACTTGTTTATTTTATTTATTAAAATTATTACTTTAATTAAATAAGAGATATGGGAATATCGATCCCCGTACGGGTGAGTAGAGGGGCTGCTTGAGATACTATATAATTATTGTATGGAAAAAATTGTCGGTGACAGTAATGATGTGGAAGTGTGCTGAACAAACCTACGGTATGAATCACTGTCATCCAAAACATTATTTTCCCCGTTTGTATATTTAATTTTTCTACGTACAAATCTCAATTTGACAACTCATATGAAATGGTTTTTACTTTTTTTTTATTGTTCTTTCTTTATTTATTTTTCCTTTTTTTTCTTTTTATTTAAAAGTAATTTTGATAAATGATTTTTTAGGTAGATTTAATATCTGCACGCGAATGATTAATAAATAAGAAAACATAATACATTTATTGTAATTTAAAAGAACTGAAAATGTATGTTCTTTGATAGACAATTTTTGCAATAATACATATTCATTTTTGCCGAAGACTTAATTAAGTATAATAATTTATATGTACATATAGTTAAACTAAGCCAGCATTAAAAAAATGAAAATTTCATAGAGCTGGATAAAATTGTTTCTCATTGTATATATGAAAATTAATTTGTATGCCAAAATCATGGCCATCAGCATGGCTCTCCGTAAGTATTATAAATTTTAAACATATTCTGATTTCAATAACAATTATCCGAATATTTATTCAAAACTTATTTATTCAAAGTTTAAAAGTATATTGTAAGTTTAAAATATTAGAATTTTCTCATAATTATAACTTAGGAATATCGAAAGTATTAAGATAAGTTACCTGAATAATAATAATTTTATCTAACCAGTAATTCTTGTTAGTTGTGACCGGTTCTTATCAAATATGTTTATATGGAGTACGTGCTATACTTAATAAAACGAGCTGTAAGAAAATTCATTGAACTGAAAATCTAATGTATACATATACATTCATATATATATATATATATATATATATATATATATATATATATATATAGATATATACGACATCATTGGAATGGATCTTCCATTATTGTAAAAATTTGTCTTTCGGCCATTTTTAAAAAATCTGAAACTATCCTTACGTAAACAAAACTATAACTCTTCCCCATTCAATTCATAAAATCATGGAATAAGCTTATAGTAAATTGTTTGCTATAAGATGTAGATTCACTATAAAATCATGACACTTTAGAGGAATAAAATCTGTAGAAATAAAGAGATATCAATTTTAAATAATAATTAAAATAATGTATGTACATTATTTAAGGTTCAAATGACTTACGACTTGTTTAACCCTTTCCTTTTCCCACCGCAAGTGTCAATAAATTTGTCTGTCTTAAAACGAGATTCTCTAAGTGAGTCTTAATTTAACACATTAGTCATCTTTTATATGCATGTTTCAACTCATAATTTTAATGCTGCTATAAGAATTATGGGAGGGGGTGGGGAGGAGGCGACGGTGGCTCGAACTAGGAAGCAACTGGAAACCAAATGTGGGATCAACGGCGAGATGTTGCATTCATAAGTTGATAAAAGTGAGTTAGACTACTTGCGACTCCTCGACATATTCGCTGTTTATGGCACAACGATGCAATACGCTTGAGTGCACCAGGGCACTAAATTGATAAATTTGCATGGCTCAACTGCATCTTTACGTCTACATGAAGGTAAATGGTTGATTGAGCTAAGACGTTTGTATACACTTTATGTACGACTCATAACTGCCTAATTCCACTTTCAATCTAATCTAATAAATCTTTATCATTCAATTCTTTTGAATTTTAAAGCATACATTATGCACTATCTATTTATAAAGATAAATTTTATTCTTTTGAACTAATATACATATTTTTTATATGATAATGGTTCTATATATATAGATTATGTTTTATATGAATCTTCTTTGTTATTTTTCATTGAAAAGCTTTATGAGAACAAAGCTCGAAGGATTATTGTTGCTTTGTACTTATTAAGAACAAACTATTAACTTGCAATTTAGCTGCAGTACAAAAATTGGTAAGACTGTAATGGTTAGAGACATTGCAGTTCGTTTAAATTAAATTAATCAATATTACTCGGATATATATATATATATATATATATATATATATATATATTAAAATACTTCCCTTTCGAGACTTCCGGCGCCTGTCAGCGTGACTTCCTCCAATGACGTAATCAAGCAGGATATGATGCCTTTTACCGATATGTAAATATATTCTCGTTCGTTCAATTGTAAATCTTATTTTCAACTGAACTGCAAGTTAAATGTCAAGAACAAAATAGATAAACAGAACAAGAGCTACTAACCATTGATATAAGCATGAAGCATAAATGTGCGCTACAAAATACAAGGAAATAATACAATGTAGCGCTGAACAATATAAATTAAATTTACAGGAAATATAAATTAATATGACATATTTCTAAATGCACTTTTCATCTATTAATCAATAAAGAACAATAGGAAATTTGAAAATTAAAAAGAATTTGTTTTGCTTAATCTAAAGTTGTGATTTTTCAAATATATATATACATATATAAATAAATAATAATTTGTAAAATGGCTGATAGATGTGTGAATAAATGCTTTCATGTAATATAATAAACATATGTTTTCAATTCATTTTTACAAGTCAAAAATAAAAAATAACTTGATGAGATTGAAAATGTAATATTCCGTTACCAATAAAATACTGCTTCCAAACCAATTAAGATTTGAAATATTTTAAAATATATTTATCTAACGGATTGTTATAAATTTTAAATGAATTTGAAAGATGACCTTGTGCGAAGGATCAATCTTATGCACTTAAGCATAAAAATCATTTTAACACTGGTCGAATGAAATATGAAAATAAATTAATGATATTGATAGGCCATGATATTATGTCGCATGCTATTCTCGCCTTTTAAATTGAAAAGTTTAAAGCTACGATACATGGGAACAAAATGCTAATAAAAGGACTCGAAGATGAAAATTTTGCTCTCGGAAGGAACTCTTATACGACCGATAAAGAATTTTCCCTATGCTTTCGATTTTATGGGAAAAAAAAAAATTAGTTAACCAGCTGTATACGGCATACGTACATTGTTGAAAACTTCCAATATATAATCATAAGATATTCAAGTGAACGCCATTGTTCGGAGTGTATTTAAGGAAAAAATAGAGGACACACGAACTTCAATCTCACGGCTCGCGCAAGTCGTTATTTACCTTTGTGAGCCGTTACTTGTGTGCGTGGGAGTCTTTACGCAACGCAAGCTTCTCTGTACTACACATACTCTTTAAAGAAGAAAAGAAAGAGGGTAGCCGCAAGGAGAAAGGAAAAGACAGAGATGGGAGAAGATAGAGAGTGAAAGAAACCGGTACACACTACTTGCACGAGGTCATAAAAGTAGAGGGTCTCTCAACCCGGCATTTT